GCTGGAGCCACCAACTGGGGCTGCTGTGTCTTCGCTTTTCATACCAGCTCCCCCTCGCTGCTTCAGCAAGCTTGTGTGTTCTGGGAGTCTGATGCTTTTTCCATCTGAGAAAGTCAAGTTAAAGGCTTAAACAAATTGGCCAGATAAACGGCCACACAATAAAATCTCAGGCACAGAGAAAAACACAGGTGAAAACGACAGAAACAGCAAGCCTGAGCCATCAGGGAAATTGCTTCCTCCTGCACCCATGCTGGGGGGCTGTTCATGCATTGGATGGCATGCCATCCTTAAGGCTGCCCTGAGGCTGCAGTGTCTTCTTGTTAGTAGCGAGCAGTGCAAAGTCAGGTCCCTACGCCAGGCATTCCAAGCCCCGTGCTGCAAGGGTCCCGCCACCATTTCAGAAGGGCAGCAGCAGGCAGCTCAGTGTCCACCCTGACAGGCCCTGGGCTTGGCTGGGTGTCCTGCCTTAGCTTTAAGAGGTTCTCAGAGCCAGGCGCGGTGGCTCACGCCTGTAATCCCAGCACTTTGGGAGGCTAAGGCGGGTGGATGGCCTGAGGTCAGGAGTTCGAGACTAGCCTGACCAACGTGGTGAAACCCCGTCTCTACTAAAAATACAAAAAAATAGCTGGGTGTGGTGGCAGGCACCTGTAATCCCAGCTACTCAGGAGACTGAGGTAGGAGAATCGCTTGACCCCAGGAGGCAGAGGTTACAGTGAGCCAAGATCATGCCACTGCACTTCAGCCTGGGTGAGAGAGCGAGACTCCATCTCAAAACAAAACAAACAAAAAAAGGTTCTTTAAGGCGGGTGGATGGCCTGAGGTCAGGAGTTCAAGACCAGCCTGGCCAACATGGCGAAACCCGACCTCTACTAAAAATAGGAAAATTAACCAGGCTTGGTGGCACACACCTGTAATCCCAGCTACTCTGGAGGCTGAGGCAGGAAAATCGCTTGAAACCTGGAGGCAGAAGTTGCAGTGAGCTGAGATCACGCCACTGCACTCCAGCCTGGATGACAGAGCAAGACTCCATCTCAAAACAAGTAAAAAATTAAAGAGGTTCTCCATCTCAACCCATTTACACAACAGCATGGGGAGTGCACGATAGAGGTCAGGGCAAAGCCACACCTGTCAGAGGGTACTGGGCTGGGCTGGGAGAGGAGGGCACCCTGGGGAGCTCCTTGGCGTTGAACCAAGTACAGCAAGGCCTGGAAGGTGAGGAGAGGGGAGCGTGAAGACGCTGCTGTTGCGATCTCTTCTCACCCTTGCACTCCCCCTCCTCACCTGCTGAGCATTCACAGTGACCCTAGATATAGAAGTGTGTGACTTCAGGGTGTGTGTTTGGCCTTGATTTTGAATTCTTTTTTTTTTTTTTTTTGAGACGGAGTCTTATTCTGTCGCCCAGGCTGGAGTGCAGTGGCGCGATCTTGGCTCACTGCAAGCTCCGCCGCCTCCCGGGTTCATGCCATTCCCCTGCCTCAGCCTCCCGAGTAGCTGGGACTACAGGCGCCCACCACCGCGCCTGGCTAATTTTTTGTGTGTGTGTTTTTAGTAGAGAGGGGGTTTCACCGTGTTGGCCAGGATGGTCTCGATCTCCCGACCTCGTGATCTGCCCACCTCGGCCTCCCAAAGTGCTGGGATTACAGGCGTGAGCCACCGCGCCTGGCCGATTTTGAATTCTAACAGGGGACATGAGCTGTTGGATCACCCAGCCTCTGTCTGGCTTCAGTGACAGGCATCTCACCGCCTCCTGGGGCAGCCTCTCCCTCACAGGCAGCTCCAACTTAGCCCTCTGTGTTGAACACAACCCACCTCCCTGTAGTGCAGACACACTGAGCCCCTGGGACAGGCAGAAGTGTGGCCCATTTACACATGAGCTTTTCAGATATTTGGGGCAGCTACTCTGATCACTCAATTTATGTCATGGAAACTTTGGACTTTGACAGGTTGCTTTCTGGTCTTATTACACATTATCCGGAAGTTTCCACTGCCTTGCATTCCTAGGTTAATTCCATTAGGCTCATGAAACCTGTATCTTCTATGATTTTAAAAAAAAAATTTTTTTAAATAGTTTTTTCGGCCAGGCGCAGTGGCTCATGCCTGTAATCCCAGCACTTTGGGAGGCGGAGGTGGGTGGATCACAAGTTCAAGAGATCGAGACCATCCTGGCCAACATTGTGAAACCCCGTCTCTACTAAAAATACAAATACTGGCTGGGTGTGGTGGCAAGCACCTGTAGTCCCAGCTACTTGGGTGGCTGAGGCAGGAGAATCGCTTGAACTCGGGAGGCTGAGGTTGTAGTCAGTCAGGATCGCGCCACTGCATTCCAGCTTGGTGACAGAGCAAGACTCCGTCTCAAACAAAAACAACAACAACAAAATAAAAATAATTTTTTTTCTCCAGAAAGGGTAATAGAAGATAAACTCTAAGTCTTTGTATATCTGAAAATATCTTCATTTTCTTTTTTTTTTTTTTTTTTTTTTTTGAGATGGAGTCTCACTCTGTCACCCAGGCTGGAGTGCAGTGGCGCAATCTCACATCACTGCAAGCTCTGCCTCCTGGGTTCATGTCATTCTGCCTCAGCCTCCCAAGTAGCTGGGACTACAGGCACCCACCACCATGCCCGGCTAATTTTTTGTATTTTTAGTAGAGACGGGGTTTCACTGTGTTAGCCAGGATGGTCTCGATCACCTGACCTCATGATCCACCCATCTCGGCCTCCCAAAGTGCTGGGATTACAGGCATGAGCCAGCGCGCCTGGCCATCTTCATTTTCTTAATACCTGATTAATAGTTTATTTGGAATTAAAATTCTGAATTCAAAACAGCTTTCCCTTATACCTTTGCAGCCATTATAACAGTGGCTTCCAGCGTCACTGATGAGCAGGTGAGGCCACCTGACTCTTGGTTTCTTGTAGGTGGCCCGTCTCCGCCTGCTCATCCCTTCCTGGAGACTTTTATTTATTTAATTTTTAAAAATTAAAAACAAAATTTTTTTTGAGACAGAGTCTCGCTCTGTCACCCACACTGGAGTGCGGTGGTGCAGTCTCAGCTCACTGCAACCTCTTCTTCCTGGGTTCAAGCAATTCTCCTGTCTCAGCCTCCCCAGTAGCTGGGATAAGAGGTGCCCGCCACCACGCCCTATTAATTTTTGTGTTTTTAGTAGAGACAGGGTTTCACCATGTTGGCCAGGCTGGTCTGGAACTCCTGACCTCAGGTGATCGACCTGCCTCGGCCTCCCAAAGTGCTGGGATTACAGGTGTCACCCACTGCGTCTAACTGGTTCATCTTGATTATTCTTTCATGCGCCCTCCCCCTCTAAATGTCTGTGAGTCCTTTTACAACCATTTATATTTATGAACCAAAAACTGGTTGACTAGCACATACAGCTGGAGTGGGTTTCTTTGTAGTCGTGTATACCTATTTATCCAAAAGTTTTTTCCTTTGAACAGAAAGATCTTGCAAGCTCTAAGAAGTTGTAAGCTCAACCCAGGCACCTCTTATGTTTGCAACCTAAATTCTCATCACCTGGATGGTCCAAAATACTTCAAAGTATAGATTTAATTTAAAGTGGTTTCAGACTAGGGATGCCTGCTATGTGCCTGGCAAAAGCAAATGCATCCCCTCTCTGGAGGAAGGCCTCTTAGGCCTCAAAGAATACCCATAGGGAATTTTTCAAGGATGACAAGCTGCAAATGACAAAAAATAACCAACTCCCCAAAGAACCAAGTGAAGACTTAGAAGAAACAATAAACAAAAATATACCAATGAAGAGCTCAGTTACTAAGATCACCAGACACAAATTATAATCAACTGCGTTTATTATGTTTAAAGAAAATACCTGCAAAGGACAAGGACTATAGAAAGTGACCTAGAAGATCTGAAAAAGAACCAAATAGGACATCTGGAAATGGAAAATATAATAAGCAAAATGAAAGATATCAATGGTATGGGTTTAACAGGTTAGACAGAGATGAAGAGAGGATCAGTGAGATGGAGAGAGGGAGATAGAAATGACCCAGAACACAACGTAGAGAAACAGGACCTGATAAAAGATAGCTGGAGAAGAAACTACAGCAAATAATCATATTCGGTCATGATGTGATGGAAACTTTTTCTTTCAATAAAGGATTAAGATGGAGGTGACTGTCATCATCACTTCTTTTCACTGTGCTACTGGGGGTGGAGGTCCCAGCCAGTGCAGAGAGGTTAGGGAAAAAATGCAGAAGGACCAGAAAGGGAAAAATCAAATGGTCATTATTTCCAGATCATGTGAATGGGAAGTAAGAAAATTCAAAGGAATCCATAAATTACTAGAACTAATAAGAGAGTTCAGTCAGACTGCTAAGCACAAGATAAATTCACATATCACTGGCCAGGCCCAGTGGCTCATGCCTGTAATCCCAGCACTTTGGGAGGCTGAGATGGGAGGATCGTTTGAGTTCAGGAGTTTAAGACCAGCCAGGGCAACACAGTGAGACCCCATCTCTACAAAAAATGAAAAATTAGCTGTTCATGGTGGCACAAGCCTGTAGTCCCAGCTACACGAGAGGCTGAAATGGGAGGGTTGCTCGAGCCTGGGAGGTGGAGGCTGCAGTGAACTATGATCAGGCCACTGCACTCCAGTCTGGGCAACAGAGCAAGACCCTGTCTCAAAAAAAAAAAAAAAAAAAAAGAAAAAATTTTAAAAAATGTATATATCTCAGTCATTTCCGAAGCATCAAGCAGGCAGAAGATTTTATTTTAAAAAGATAACATTACTGGCTGGGCACGTTGGCTCATGCCTCTAATCCCAGCACTTTGGGAGGCCGAGGTGGGCGGATCACCTGAGAGGTGAGGAGTTCGAGACCAGCCTGGCCAACATGGGAAAACCCCATCTCTACTAAAAATACAAAAATTAGCTGGACGTGGTGTCAGGCACCTGTAGTCCCAGCTACTTGGGAGGCTGAGGCAGGAGAATCGCTTGAATCCAGGAGGCAGAGGTTGCAGTGAGCTGAGATCACGCCATTGCACTCCTGCCTGGGCAACAAGAGCAAAACTCTGTTTCAAAAATAAATAAATAAAATAAAAAGAGATATCCATGGTATCTCTATAGGGAAAATGATAACTTCTTAGAAGACACTAAAGGAGTGCTAAATGGATAGATATTCCCTATTTATAAATTTGAAGACTCATTATTGTAAAGCTGTAAGTCCCCCTGAAATGATCTATAGTTTAATACAACCCTAGAAAAATCCCCAAGGTTTTTTTCCCCCAAATATGACAAGCTGATTATAATACATGTACAGATGGTCCCTGATTTTGATGATTCAACATAGGGTTTTTCCACTTTGCAACGTTTTCTTTGGGCCGTAACCCCATGGTAAACCGAGGAGCACCTGTACATGGAAGTGCCAACAGCCAAAAATCACTGAGACTCTCTTGGAAAAAGAAAGAAGCTGGGAAGACATGCTTTAGCAGACAGCAAGACTTGCCTGACGCCAGGAATGAGACAGGGTGATTCTGGCACTGCACAGGTTGGCACGTGGACTGCTGGACCATAGAATCCATGGCAGCCACATGCTGTGTAGACACATCCTTGCCTTAGGAAGAGAAAGTGCTGCAGGGGGCAGGGAGAGAGTTCTAGGCAATGTTTAGAGTGGGGTCGGGGTCGTGTGGTTCCTGGAGGTGACACATGGCGTGTCCTCGTGCTAGGTGGCAGTGGGTCACATGACCCCTGGAGGTGACACACAGGGTGTGTCCTTGCTAGGTGGCAGTGGGTCACATGACCCCTGGAGGTGGGTGGCCGTCTGGGAGGCAGCGAGTCTGGCCCTGGCTCTGCCACTTGCTCTGTGCGTGAGCTTTCCAAGACACTTTCCTCTTGCAGCCTCCGTTTTCTTGCCTGTGCAATGAGTGAATGGAACTGGACAGCTCGAGAGCCTTTCCAGCTCTGAGGCTTATGGATCCTGGGTTGAAAGTCGTGGCCATTGTCTGTCCACACAAAACCAAAGCCTTAGGCAAGCTGCACTGTTGACAATCTTTGAATGTCTCTTCGTTCCATCTTTCTCAAGGTGTCCGCAGAGCAGAGCACAGAGGGCCACCCGGGGAGTGGCAGTGTCTCTGAGTAAGTACTGGGGAGACACATCTCTCCCAGAAGCCATGGGTTCTTTTCGTTGACTCCAGCCAGCCTCAGAGCCCTCCTGTCCCCCACACTTTCCTCCAGGTCCTCACAAGGTTTCCAGAGGCAGCTTCCTCTAAATACAAAGCCCTAGACCTCAAGGGAAGGTCCTGCCAAGGAGACTGCAGAAGGCTCACAATCTCACCACAGCTTTGCTCTTCCTCCTAAAAAAGGCCATGACCTGGATCAGACCAGGGCATGCCCAACCCATTTCCTATTTGCACCTTAACTCATTCGAAATTATTCAGGTGCCATACTGTGCGCTATGGCCAGATCTAGGAACAAGACACAGCCTTTAAGGAACTCGCAGCCCAGGGCCAGCAGTGGGCCCACCTGCAGCTCCCCGGCATGTTACCAGGGAACCATGCTGAACACCCTTGAAGGTAGCAAGCGAGGAGCCTGGTCTCATTTCCTCCTTTAAAATCCCCCAGCCCCAGCGCCCAGGCCTTGTCTGTCTGCTCCAGGGATGACTTTCCACCCCAGGCCAGTCACCCCCTTGGCTTGCTCACCTCCAACTAATGTGGTAACGGGTCACTGGGAGTGGGTGATTGTCAAGTAAGAGTGTGGGAGTGAAAAAGGTTGGAAATGTTAACCATTGTCCTTCATTACAAATTATTTTGGGACAGGAACCCTGCTGGACTCCCTTATTTACCAGACACTGGGAGGTCCCACCCTGAGCCCCACAGCGGTGCTGAGGGGTTCTGAGGGCTGCAGTGCAGGGGCTGGGACTGAGGCCCTACCCAGGAGGGGCGTGGTCTTGGGAAATGCAGGCAGCAAGCTCCAGGGGACGTCAGAACTGGTGTTTTAACACAGCTTGAAGGGGCTAGGCCCAGTGGCTCACGCCTATAATCCCAGCACTTTAGGAGGCCTAGGCGGGCGGATCACTTGAGGTCAGGAATTCAAGAGCAGCCTGGCCAACATGCTGAAACCCTGTCTCTAGTAAAAAAATACAAAAAAAAAAAAAAAAAAAAAAAAAAGCCGGGCATGGTGATGTGCACCTGTAATCCCAGCTACTCCGGGGGCTAAGGCAGGAGAATCACTTGAACCCAGGAATTGGAGGTTGCAGTGAGACAAGATCATGCCACTTCGCTCCAGCCTGGGTGACAGAGGGAGAATCTGTCTCAGAAAAAAATAGATAGATAAATAAAAATAAAAATATAAAAATAAGATGGCTTGAAGGACATACAGGAGTTGGCTGAGGAGAGAGGAAGGAAGGAGCCTCCTGGGACACTGTGTGTACAGGCGGGGGAGGTAGGAGGGAATGGGGGAGGTAGGAGGGAATGGGGGAGGTAGGAGGGAATGGGGGAGGTAGGAGGGAATGGGGGAGGTAGGAGGGAATGGGGGAGGGAGGATTAAGGTGTTGGGAGGGTTTTGAATGCCGAGCGGAAAAGGCTGGCCATTGTTCCCAGTAGAAGGCTGTGGCCAGCTCTGGGCAATGTTAGAAGCCACTGCAGAGCGGGAGGTAGTAAGGATGCCCGCGCAGCTCTGCCTCTGCCCTGTCAGCAGGGACTTTAGAGTTTCCATCAGCCCAAGGAATTTAGGATTAAATCCTACCATGAACTAATTAACTATTATTTCCTCTGACTTTTACACATGCACATTCCAGGACTCCCCTCAAATTTCCGTTACTGCCACTCACCAGTGGTACTTCACTCATTCAGTATACTTTATATATATATATATATATATATATATATATATATATATATATTTTTTTTTTTTTTTTTTTTGAGACGGAGTCTCGCTCTGTCGCCGGGGCTGGAGCGCAGTGGCCGGATCTCAGCTCACTGCAAGCTCCGCCTCCCGGGTTTACGCCATTCTCCTGCCTCAGCCTCCTGTGTAGCTGGGACTACAGGCGCCCACCACCTTGCCCGGCTAGTTTTTTGTATTTGTTTTAGTAGAGACGGGGTTTCACCGTGTTCGCCAGGATGGTCTCGATCTCCTGACCTCGTGATCCGCCCGTCTCGGCCTCCCAAAGTGCTGGGATTACAGGCTTGAGCCACCGCGCCCAGCCTATTTTTATTTTTTTAAATTGTTTTGGGATAGAGTTTTGCTCTTGTCGTCTAGGCTGGAGTGCAATGGTACGATCTCGGCTCACTGCAGTCTCCACCATCTGGGTTCAAGCGATTCTCCTGCCTCAGCCTCCCAAGTAGCTGGGATTACAGGCACGAGCCACCCTGCCCAGCTAATTTTTGTATTTTTTGTAGAGACGGGGTTTCACCAAGTTGGCCAGGCTGGTCTCGAACTCCTGGCCTCAAGTGATCCGCCCGCCTTGGCCTCCCAAAGTGCTGGGATTATGGGCGTGAGCCCCCGCACCCAGTCTTTTCATTCAGTATACTTTAATGGGAGTCTCCCTGGGTGCTGCCCTGGGTGTGGAAGTGCCCAGGGCTCTCTCAGCCCCTCCAGTGCCGTGCTCCCACCAGAAAGGAAACCCCAGGTCCCAGCAGGCCTGCCCCAGGGTCAGGGCTGGTAGCATCTGCCCTGTACCCACTGTGCTTCTCGCTGCCCACAGCACAGCACCTGGCTCCTGTGGCAGCCGCAGACCCTGTAGGCCAGTCTCAGCCCTGCCGGCGTGCAGCTCTCGGGCACCAGTGCCTCGCCCTGTGGCTGTGACAGTGTCCTGCCCTTCAGTCTCCTCCCTCCAGTGTCACCCTCGCCCTCCCAGGCAGGGTCCTTCCAACAGTGTTTCAGGGTGGAATTGCTAATGTCTGCCGCTGACTCTGGGATGCATCAGAAAATCAGATGAAGAAGTAAATAAGTATGTGATAAAGTAAATATACCAAGTTGAACTTAATTGTTGAATCTACAAATTTTAACTTTTCAGTATGTTTAAAATTTTTCATAATAAAATACCGAAGAAGAAACCCTTCAAAGCACGGTTTAAACATCTCCCTCATACTCTATCCCCTTCCTGCTCAAACTAGTGTCCCTTCTCCCGCATGGTGCAACTTCCCAGCCCTCCTACAAGTGGCCTCTCCTGTAGTAGGTCCACGTGATATGGCCCTGCCCTGTCCCCTCTCTTCAGGCCTCATCACAGAAGGAATCAGATTTGCCTCTGGTCCCACATGTGCGCCAGGCACATAGTAGCATTTCATAGACCCTTGTTGACAGGATTGTTTAATGTCAGCCTGGGGCCTGTGGGCCTTGACCCCACTGCTGACCATCCTGACAATGCCAGGTCCTCCCCAGGGAGGGCCCTGCTGAAGCAGGAGAGGGGAGCAGCTGTGCCGGAGGCAGTCGCTGCTTCCCTGAGCTTTTGGCTGGGCCATCCTGACCTGAAGTCTGTAAGGACAAGGTAGTGGAAGCCCAGGGGCCCATGGAGGGGAACACAGGGGTTCTAGAAACTTCTGTCTGCAGCTGCTGCTGAAATTCACCTATTGTTCATTCTGCAAATGCTTGTTGAGTGCCCAGTGTAAGCCAGGCCTTGGGCCAGACACATTGGTGTCTGAGGTGAGAGAGGTTACTCCTCCCCATTTTCCTAGTGAGTAAACTGAGATCCAAGGCAGGCTGTCCCCACGTTGCGGAGGCAGCAGATGCTAGAAAATTCTAGACCCAGCCAGGTGCAGTGGCTCACACCTGTAATCCCAGCACTTTGGGAGGCCGAGGTAGGTGGATCACCTGAGGTCAGGAGTTTGAGAGCAGCCTGACCAACAAGGTGAAACCCCATCTCTACTAAAAAAATATATAAAAATTAGTCGGGAGTGGTGGCACATACCTGTATTCCCAGGTACTTCGGAGGCTGAGACGGGAATCCCTTGAACCTGTGATGGGGAGGTTGTAGTGAGCTGAGATCGCAGAGTGCGCCACTGTGCTCCAGCCTGGGTGACAGAGCAAAACTCCGTCTCAAAAAAAAAAAAGAAAAAGAAAAAGAAAATTCTAGACCCAATAGAATAACACAAATGTTCTTGCCTCATTTAACGTGTGGGTTTCTGAGGCCCAATTACAATGAATTTGTTCTCTCTGGAGAAGCGTATTGGTGTCTTTCCTTGGAGTGATTCTCCTTGGAAAGGTCTTTTTCTTTTTAAGAAATGTGTGACTTTCAGCCTGGGTAACATAGGGAGACCTCGTCTCCACAAAAAATACAAAAATTAGCCAGGTGTTGTGGCACATGCCTGGGGTCCCAGCTGCTCAGGAGACTGAGGTAGGAGGATGGCTTGAGCCTGAGAAGTGGAGGCTATTGTGAGCTGTGTACTTCAGCCTGGGTGACAAAGCAAGATCCTGTCTAAAAACAAACAAACAAACAAAAGCATGACTTTAGGAATCCTGCTGATGGAAAACCTGACAGTGAATGAGAATTTAAACAAAGATTCATTTCTTGACTCCCTCAAGAGTGCGGAGGGAGACTTCCCAAGAATCCCTTTAGGATCCATTTTTCCCTTTGATCTGTGTGCCCCACCCAGGTAGGGGGAGAAAGAGCTTACAGCCCCACCTGACTCTCCAAGCCCCACCCGCTGCCCCATGGTGTTGGTGGAGCGTTGCCAGGCAGACAGGGCAGGGGTGGCTGTGGAGCCCAGTGGAGCCTGACTTCTCACAGGCCCTGGACTGTCTGCCGTCCTGCCCACCCCAGCCCCGGGGCCGCCCGTCAGCTTCCCACGTGCCAGTCCCTGCTCTTTCTCCCCAGGATCCCAGCTACAGGGCATGTCAGGTGCTGAGTGAGACAGGATGAGTGAGGAGAATGGCTGTGTGACCCTGGGCGGCCACCTCCCTCAGGGCTCAGCTTCACATCCACAGGCAAGTGGGGGGCTGCCTGGTGAGCCCAGAAGGGCTTTTATTCCTGTGGGGGTCCCTAGGCCCAGAAGTGCTGCTTGGGGTTCCTGCTGACCAGGAGACCCTGTTGCCCTTGAGGGTGTCTGGGCGTCCCTTGCCCATTCCTCTTCTTCCCAACAATCCTCAGGGGAGTTGAGCCCAGGAGGATGGTGGGGAACAGGAAGGGCAGTGGCCGGGCTTCTCTGTACTGGGTGCTTTGCTGGGCCCTTACTCTGTTTTTTTTTTTTTTTTGGTTTGTTTGTTTTTTCTTTTTTGAGATAGGGTCTTGCTCTATTGCCCAGGTTGGAGTGCAGTGGTGCAATTTCAGCTCATTGCAAACTCCACTTCCCAGGCTCAAGTGATTCTCCAGCCTCAGGCTCCTGAGTAGCTGGGACTACAGGCATGTGCCACCATGTCCGACTAATTTTCATACTCTTTGTAGAGACAGGGTTTCACCATGTTGGCTAGGCTGGTCTCAAACTCCTGAGCTCAAACCAATCCACCTGCCTCGGCCTCCCAAAGTGCTGGGGATTATAGGCATGAGCTACTGCATTGGGCTAGGCATGAGCTACTGTGAAACTAACAGCATCGCAGCGACTTCTGTTGAGTGTTTCCTTAGTGCCCAGCTCTGTGGTAGACATACCGCGGGCAGTGCCTGATCCAACCTTCAGGCCAGCCTCGTGGAGTAGCTGCTGGGTTTTATCCACAGGGGCATGAGGCCTGGTACACGCCTTGCCCACAGCCACACAGCAACTGCGTGGCTGAGCCAGGTGAGATCTGCCTGCCTCCAGATAATCTGCATTTCCACTGTGTCTCAGGGCTGCAAGGAACACGTATTGCCTTCAGTGCCTTCGAGGACAGGCAGTGTGCCAGGAGCCCTGCAGGCGTCAACAAGGACCACACAGCTGTTTCTGCACACCGGCCGCGGGCGGTGATAATAAGTACAGTCCCTGGAGCCAGCTGGGCAATAGGGGCATGACATCTCCGGGGCATGGGAGGAGTGTGTCCCCTGGACGCCTGGAGGCCCACTGCTAGATTCCGATCCTTCCTGGGGAATGAAGTCAAGTGGCTGTGCCAGGGGCCCAGCTCTTGCCCTGAGTTCCGAGAGAGCCAGACGGGGACCCGGAGGCTGTGCTCTGAGCATCAGTGGGAGTGCAACCACAGAGGGACCTTTGAGTCCCTCTGGCCCAGCCCCCCAAGCTCGCAGATGGGGAACCAGGTCGGGAAATGGGGGGCGGCTCGCCCCAATGTCTGGCAAGTGGCAGAGCAGTTGGCGGTGTTCCCCTTGCCCAGAGTCGCTGGCTGGCCACCGGGAGGGCAGCGTCCCACACCTGGCCGTGGGCAGCTGGCCTGCCTTTCCTGGACCCTGTCAACTGCAGACCTGCACACCTCCTTCCGAGGCAGCATCTCCAGCCTGACCGAGGCTTCACGCCCTGCCCTGGGCTCCAGGACTCCCTCCTGCAAAGGTCCGCACATTTCAACACAACCGTGGCAGTCCGGGGACAGTTAGCACCACCCAGGTGTCCACACAGTCCACAAGGTCTGGGAAAGCGGGACGAGCTGGCAGGGTCCAGGCTGGTGGAGCCACTTTCTGGAGCCCAGGCAGCAGGAGCAGGAGCTCTAGTCTCAGTCCCTCTCAGCTAGGCTGCCAGGTGGGTTGAGGGAGTGGCAGGATCCTGAACGTGTGGATCCATAAAACGAGCAGCTCCTGTGAGACCCCAGAGGGTACGGGCACAGACCGATGTCCGCAAGCAACCAACATGACAGTAATTCCCTTTTATTTTTTATTTATTTTTTTGAGACAAGAGTCTTACTTTGTCTCCCAGGCTGGAGTGCAGTGGCTCATTCTCGGCTCACTGCAACCTCCACTTCCTAGGTTCAAGCCATTCTGCCTCAGCCTCCCGAGTAGCTGGGATTATAGGCACCTACCACCCCATCTGGCTAATTTTTGTATTTTTAGTAGAGACGAGATTTTACCATGTTGGCCAGACTGGTCTCCATCTCCTGACCTCAAGTGATCTGCCCACCTCAGCCTCCCAAAGTGCTAGGATTACAGGCATGAGCCACTGTGCCTGGCCGTGATTCCCATTAAGGCTGTGGTGTGCTGGATTCTATGTCATATGTTGCCCATGCATTATCTTATGCCTCAGAACGACTCATGAATAAAGTTGTGTGCTTGAGAACAAACTCGGAGGCTCAGAGATGCACTGGCCTTGCCTGAGGTTGCCGCATGGGTGAGCCGCAGAGTTGGGATTCAAGCTCGGGTCTTCCCAGCCCAGAGCCTGCCCTCCCTCAAACAGGGCAGGTGCTGGCTTCCACTCAGCGCAAGGGCTCAGTGTTGTGGGAGATGAAGCGATCGCAGCAGAGGCCTGCTGGTGGCTGTGTGCTGGGCGAGAGAGCCACAGGGTGTCCCAGGGCAAAGGCTTTTGGTTGGTGTTTCAGGATGGGCCCACCAGGAGCCATTGTGGTGGCCAGGGGAGATGAGTGTGAAGGCACCATCCTGCCTCCTGACAGCCCTATCCCATTTCTGGCCCACAGAGCTCCAGGCAGTAGTGGCAAGAAGCCCGAGAGGCCGGCAGCCATCTCCTACGACCACGCGGAAGAGGGGCTGATGGCGAGCATCGAGCGGGAGTACTGCCGCTGAGGACAGCATGCCCCGCCAGGCTTCGGAGGCACCTGCTGGCTGGGGCACCCCCTCCTCGCCCAGAGCTCTAGCAGGAGCTGAACCACCTCCAAAACGCAGCCACTCCCGGATATTCAAAGCTGACCTTGCAAATCCACTTTCCGACCGTGCTGACCTGGGCCAGCCACTGGTGGTCATGGTTGCTGGTGGGGGCGATTAGCTGTGCAGACCCACAGGTGCGTGGGCCCGGGCCGCCGGCGCCTCCTCCCCAACACGGGGAGCCTGCCCGGTTCTCCTGGAGCCTGAAATGCGTGCGCATCTTGGCTGCCCGCTCTCCACAGTGGGGAGGGCTCACCAGGCTTGGGTGACACAAGCGAGCCCCTCCTGGCATCCGCGCCACAGCACTTCCGGAAGGTTCCGCTCTGGAAGGTACACCCGCGCTGCTCCCTCAGTCTCAGGCCCATCTCTCCAGGGGTGGCCGGATCAATTTAGAGCTTCTCAACTTTAACTCCCTAATGAGCAGGCTGGGGGTGCTGTTGACATGCAGGGCCTGAGGTTCCCTACGTCTAACCAGCTCCCAGCCGAGGCCCAAGCTCCGAAGCCCCAACTGCACTTTGAGGAACGAGAATCCCAGCTTTGATCTGCCTTGCAGTGGGAGGTAGAGCGCGTCACTGCCTCTCTGGGCCTCAGTTTCCCTCTCTGGAAAATCAGCTCTGGCAGCTCTTGGAGGCCCTTCCCAGCTCTGACAATCTGGAACTGCACAAGCCCAGGCTACCACTACTGTTCCCCCACCCTAGGCACAGCACCGCCTTCCCTGCGGGCAGCCAACGCCCAGGTCCCACGGGGAGAGGGTCTGCCTGACACTGGCTTTCCAGTTCTCCCTCTCACAGGCAGCCTGGCCAGTGCCTACGGGGCTTTTAAATTCTCTTCCCGCCTAGGTGGAAGGTGGGAAACCACAGCAGTAAGGCAGGAAGAGCCTTGGAATGTTCCTGGTTGACAGATGGGAAAACTGTCCTGCCCGGGACGCCCTGGGAACAGGGGGCGGAGCTCCGGCGAGAGGGGACTCCTGTGTGGGCGGGCAGGTCTGGAGTCTGGGCCCAGGTGCGGCCTGCTGGGGGACAGCTCCGGGGGAGAACTGCGGGGAGAACAGCGGTCTAGGGAGGCAGGAGGCAGGCGGCAGGCTCCTCCCCAGCAGCCTGGAGGGCATCAGGACAGAGGGGGAAGGAGGAAACAGCGTGGCTTCCGCTGAAACCAGTACAAGCCTGGTTATCTGGCTTGACCCGCCAACACGGAGGCCCCCGCCACCGTTTTCTTTTTCCCCCTGAGAAGAGCTCCGCTCCCACGTCCTTAGAACACGGCAGAGCAGGAGCATCTCAGGAATCAACGCCAGCTCCTTGGCGCTGTCCCCAGACCCACAGGCCTGCTGCGGCCATTCGCAAACGGGCATTTCCTTGAACTTTTGAGAGTGCCTTTGACCAGCTGTTCGCAGCTGGGAAACTCCAAGTTTCGAAGTCGGAGCTTGGAGCGGCCCCGCAAGGGCATGGCTCAAACCCTCCGCAGAGCTGGGAGCCATTGCTCGTGCAAGCCCAACCGATTCTTTTGATATAAAGATGGAAGTCTTTATATCAAATACATCTTTTAAAATAAGTTAACATTTTATTTCTTACCACCAGATGGATAAGGCTTTGAATTTAATCATGTAAATGTTTATAATTTTATGTGATTTTGTTAAAATGGGACGCTTTCAATTGGTTTCCAAGAAAAAGATAATACCTCTGCATTTTCTGGTGGAAAACGCATGATACCCTTAATGAGATCAACGTGTTACAGGAAAAAAATTCCAAAAGTAGTTACAAGCTACATCAATGTCAAAGTAAATGCACTTCAAAGCTAAGAAGTCACAGGAATTGTTCTCAGGTCTTTAAAAAAATTTTTCCTGAATTCAGGAAGTGTCTTCTGAACAGCAGCTAGCCAAATAAAGTGGTGTGTGTGTACTGCAGCTGCAGGTGAACTTAAAAATAATAATAATAATAAAAAGAACAAATAAAGCAGTGTGTACCAGCCGCTGAGCCGGCCCTGTCTCTGTCCTGTGAGATGGAGGGGCTGTGTCTGGAAGTGGAGGCGTGGACGTTGCTGCAGCCTGCCGCCCGGCCAGTCTGTCCCGGTGCCTCCTGAGTGCGGGGCACCGCCTCAGGCATCTTCCTGGCTGCCCCATGTTGCACCTGAGCCTCAGCGTCCTGCTCAGAACTGCGTGTGGGATTTGCTCACTGCCAGGATAGGACTGTGGCTGGAATCGAGGTAGAAAGAAAAACACCTCAAAGGCAAAAATGACACGTTATTGTCTGGTAAAGTCTTAAGTGACCACAAACGTGTCTCCTGGTTTCTTTTTTTCTTTTCTTGAGACAGAGTCTCTCTCTATTGCCCAGGCTGGAGTGCAGTGGCACAATCTCAGCTCACCGCAACCTCAGCCTCCCAGGTTCAAGCAATTCTCCTGCCTCAGCCTCCCGAGTAGCTGGGATTACAGGCATGCGCTACCACACCTAGCTAATTTTTTTGTATTTTTAGTAGAGACGGGGGTTTCACCATGTTGGCCAGGCTGGTCTCGAACTCCTGACCTTGTGATCTTCTCGCCTCTGCCTCCCAAAGTGCTGGGAATACAGGCATGAGCCACCATGCCCGGCCATGTGTCTCTGGTTTCTGTAGTATGAGAGTTCCTCGAAGATGGTGCAAAGCCCCAGGAACTGAGAAAACACTTCCATCCCCAGCTCTGAGAAATGCTGGGTGTGTTTTCTCAGGGAAGGAGCAGAGTCCTGCTGTTGCCCTCCTCCTGGCATGTGTGTTCCCAAGTCTCTCCTCGAGGGCCCGTGGGCTCCTAGCCTCACCCAGGCAGGGACCTCATCCCTTGGCTGCTGTTGGCTCAGGCTCCCTGCACCTCCCTGAAACAGCCCTTTATAAGACACTTTCCTCTGCTGTTCCAAAGACCTAGGCCCACTTGTCCCCAAGGAATGCTACGCCCACTCACACACGTTGCCCGGACACCTGCTGCTGACACTGGCGGATCCATGAGAGCATTCTCTGTTCCCAGGAGTGGCGCACGCTCGTGCACATGTGAACACATGGGACAGCGTTAAGGCTGTCGAAGAAGTGTCACCAAGCGCCCCATGGAAGAATCTGTGGCCCCCTTTTTTTTTTTCTCCTTTTTCCTTCCTGGCAATAAAGAGGCAGGAGAAAAGTCTTGTCAGTTGCCCCGAGGAGGATAATCACACTTGCAGTTCTAATACTTCCCTCTAGGAAGCGGCTCCGTAATCAGACCTTTTGTGTGGTGAGGGTCTGGTCCCCCTAGGGACAAATCAGACCTCCCGAGGTGGCCAGGGGCTGTGTTTTCTGGAGATATGGCAGCCTTTAGTTTCAAGAGTTGGGAAGGAAAAGGAGGAAGAAGAGTGAAGCCTGTGGCTTCATGATGTACTTTGTAATCTTGGGCCGGGAGTGGAAGGAAATAATGGAAGAGACTTCCAAGCACTTCTTCCAGAGTGGCTGGAAAACCACTTTCAATTCTACCTCTTTGCAGCCACCCCTTGACACAGAAAGGGCATGAGCACTGACGGCCACAGGGTCACCCGGCACACTACTGGGTCTGCCTGGATCCGACCCACTGCCAGAGTGGCCACTTCACATGTTGGCTTTTTGAGACAGGGTCTTGCTCTGTCACTCAGGCTAGGGTGCAGTGGTGTGATCGTAGCTCACGGCCGCCTCAAATTCCTGGGCTCAAGGGATCCTCCTGCTTCAACTCCCCAAAGTGCTGGGATTACAGGTGTGAGCCACCACACCCAGCTCTTCACACATTTTTTTCCGGAAAGGACCCTCCAAAGAACCTAAAGAAACACAATAAAACTCCAGAAAACAGAGAGGAGAGTTTAGTTTGAGCCAATACACCATGAATTTTATAGACTCTTCCAAAAACTCTCTAGGTATACTTAGGCCACCAGGCAGAGTTAAATGACACAGGACACATGTCCAGTTTAAAATCAAGTTTTATATGATTCAAAGAAAAAAGTTACATTACATACTCATTTAAATAATGTCAAAGTCTGTTACATAAAACATAATTATGAAACATTTTAAGTCTTATTCAAACTACTTAAAAGGCTCAAAGTCACAAAAGATCAAGCAAAACTGCCCAGGCAATAAAGTGCACGAGGGGAGCCCGCCTCTCCAGCGGCCATCAGCACCCACAGCCGCCAGCTGAAGGGCTCCATGCTGAATCCACACACAAGGTTTGTGGTTCTCAGAATAGTTTTCAGACAGGAACTGTTTCCAACTTAAAATCTTTCAACAGACAAATGGAGGTGGAAGGGGGATGGTTTACACAAAGTATTTCCAAATGTAATCAGGAAATGGAAGTGTAAATTAAAACCATTTTCAACCTGTATCTCTTCTTTAGAAATAGTACTACTTGGAGAATGTTCTGTGACAAGCAACCAAATACTCAAAAGACCTTATCCACCAGAATACTAGCAGGACTAACACTACCTTGCATGTCATAATTAAGAAAAATATCCAAATTTGATGCCATTTATAGTGTACAAAAATGTTTATGCTTATTTTGATGAGCAGGAGAAAGGACTGGGTGGTGAGGAAACACGAACTATGCACAACATAAGACAGCAACTGCACTGTCTCACGATGACAGGACACTCACCTATGGAGTGTCCAAACTGAAAACCTCTGAAAAACACATGTGTGCCAAGTAACAGCTGATACTAAGGGGCAAGTTAATGGGTATCAAGTAACATACAATGAATGACCAGGTGGAGATTTTATCAGACTACAAAAAATAAAACACAAAACCTAATTTTACTCAATATTCCACCTTACCATCATTTTAATAAAGGTAAATGCCAATAATTAACACAGACAAAATTTAAATACATACTGCACAATAAAAAAAATTCCCAGGCCACCAAATTAAATTAGTGCAATGTTCTGTATGTTCCTACATTTATTCCATTGCCTGAACTTCCAATGTTTAACAAAAACCAGTGTCAGTGGCTTCTTGAACACAGGCGGCCACATTCTCTCGTTTATCTATGACGTGCTCACACAGTTGAAAAACGTCCATTTTCTAGGTAGACTGTAAAACACACCACCAAGTAATATTCTGTTTGGTCAAAAAAGTTTCCTTCAAACAAAATGAACAGAAACGCAGTTGGCTAGTATTACCGCCATTTAGCGTAACTTGCATTTCCTTGCATTTCTAGTATTTGGCAAACAAAAGCAGCAGAATCTTGGCACTGCCTGCCTGCACATGAATCTCACCTCAGCTAAGCTGTACTCTGGCAGAAAGTTCATCCAACCACTGCAGACATTTCCTTTTTTTCTGGGAAGTTACTCTACCCACAATGCAGTATGGATGCAGCCACAGCAAAAGGAGTCAACTGACCATGGACAAAGCGGCTGGATTTCAGTGTTTATCTTTTTTGGTGTTTTAGGTACAAACAAGAAACTGAATGGCTTGCTTTCAGCAGAGCCATGGCCAAGACTATTACACACAGACTAGATCCTGCAGCAAGTACTGGTCCCTGGGATCTGCCCAGTGGCTCACGTTACTTGCTGGGGTCCATCCTTCATGACACACCAGGGACACAGCTCACTAGTTCCAGTCAACCAAAATTCTAGTTCTTGGGTGACAGGAATGATTGCCTAGAATTTCCTTGACAATGTTATGAAGAAGCTGACTGCAAAATTTATTTTTCCCTTTTATGAGGTCCTTATTCAACCAGGTCCAATTCCAAAAAGATCTCAAAGGCCAGATAACTTGTGATTTTTTTTGGTGGAATAACATGTCAAGTTTACTAAAAGATGGGTCATTTTTAAAAACTTTGTTATTAAATGCTGAAAAGAAGGTTGCAAAATGATCTAGCTAGAAATTGGTGATTTGAGCACCAACAATATAAATATTTTTATAAAAAACAGTATAAAAATTAGTACCCTGTCTTATTTCTACAAAACATCAATAGAAAGGTCGTAAAAATCCATTTTGTAAACTTTATTGCCGAAATATTTGTTTGAATGCTGGTGATTTAGATTATCAAATTTTCTACCATTTCTTTAAAAAAACAAAACAAAAAATCTTCTGAAACTACAAAAGATACTGAACAGGGTCCCAAGTGGAAAGGAAAGTTAACATACTTTCATCAAAACCAGCTCCCCGATCTTCCCCTAGTTCCCCAAGACCATTTTTTTTTGGGGGTGAGGCAGTGGGAGAGAAATTCCTGAAAAGAAGGTTTTTAAAAACCCCATGAGTGATATCCCAGGGGACCTTTCAGGCAGAGGCTGGCATGGTGAACAGTGGGCTCCCTGGGCTCTCTGCAGAGGCGATTCTGTTCAGCTTGCCAACCTCTGCCTGCCAGCCTGGGATCTTCTTGGTCGTCATGTGGCGCCGGGCATGCTTCGTCAGGTGGTCACTGCGCATGAAACGTCGGTCACACACCGGGCACACAAACTTCTTCTCCCCTGTGTGAGTTCTGCGGTGGCGAGATAGCTCATCCGAACGAGCAAACTTTTTATCACAGCCATCCCAGCTGCAGTGGAAAGGCTTCTCCCCTATGAGGTGAGAAAATACATATTAAAGAGAAAGGAAATGCTGAGCACCTTATTCAAGGGATTAATTCATGTCGTTTTAAAATCACATCCATCAAACTCTGAAAAAAGTGATATCTTATTATTTCTGGAATTGGATGATTTGGGTCAAGAAATTCTCCAAAAGGCATTTATTCCTCCCACACTTAAAATGCGGTATGTTAGCACGCAAAGATTTCAAGCTAATCTTTCAAAATATATTTAAAAATAAATCAGGCAAAGTACAAGTACAGCGGCTCATGCCTGTAATCACAGCACTGTGGGAGGCTGGGGAGGATCAGTTGAGCACAGGAGTTCCAGACTAGCCTGGGCAACAAAGTGAGATCCAATCTTTACCAAAAAACAAAAATAAATTAATTAAAAATGTAGCATCCGGCCAGGTGCAGTGGCTCATGCCTGTAATCCCAGCACTTTGAGAGGCCGAGGTGGGCAGGTCACGAGGTCAGGAGATCGAGACCATCCCGGCTAACACGGTGAAACCCTGTCTCTACTAAAAACACAAAAAATTAGCCAGGCATGGTGGCGGGTGCCTGTAGTCCCAGGTACTCAGGAGGCTGAAGTAGGAGAACGGCGTGAACCCAGGAGGCAGAGCTTGCAGTGAGCCAAGATTGCACCACTGCACTCCAGCCTGGGCGACAGAACGAGACTCCATCTCAAAAAAATAAAAATAAAAAATGTAGCATCCGTCCAGGCACGGTGGCTCACGCCAGTAATCCCAACATTTTGGGAGGCCGAGGCAGGCAGATCACCTGAGGTCAGGAGTTCGAGACCAGCCTGACCAAGATGGCGAAACTCCGTCTCCACTAAAAATACAAAAATTAGCTGGGTGTGGTGGTGGGCGCCTGTAATTGCAACTATTCCAGAGGCTGAGGCAGGACAATCGCTCGGACCTGGGAGGCCGAGAATGCAATGAGCGGAGACCATGCCATTGCACTCCAGCCTGGGAGAGAGTGAGACTCTGTCTAAAAAAGAGAAAAAAAGTAGCAAAGCTGGGCTTGGTGGCTCATGCCTGTAATCCTAGCACTTTGGGAGGCCAAGGTGGGCGGATCACGAGGTCAGGAGATCGAGACCATCCTGGCTAACACAGTGAAACCCCGTCTATACTAAAAATCCAAAAAAAATTAGCCAGGCATGGCGGCTGGCACTTGTAATCCCAGCTACTCGGGACGCTAAGGCAGGAGAGGAAAATGGCATGAACCCGGGAGGCGGAGCTTACAGTGAGCCCGAGATCGTGCCACTGCACTCCAGCCTGGGCGACAGAGTAAGACCCCGTCTCAAAAAAAAAAAAAAAAAAAAAAAAAAGTAGCATCCATTCACTCTACCTTATTCCAATTTAAAGATTTTTCAGGGCCGGGCGCGGTGGCTCAAGCCTGTAATCCCAGCACTTTGGGAGGCCGAGACGGGCGGATCACGAGGTCAGGAGATCGAGACCATCCTGGCTAACACGGTGAAACCCCGTCTCTACTAAAAAATACAAAAAACTAGCCGGGTATGGTGGCGGGTGCCTGTAGTCCCAGCTACTTGGGAGGCTGAGGCAGGAGAATGGCGTGAACCCGGGAGGCGGAGCTTGCAGTGAGCTGAGATCCGGCCATTGCACTCCAGCCTGGGCGGCAGAGCGAGACTCCGTCTCAAAAAAAAAAAAAAAAAAAAAAAAAGATTTTTCAGGTTAGTAGAAATATATATAAAAAGCGATCTTATCCAAGGTGAACTTGCCCAGTTTCTACTTCTCACCAAAACTCCAAGCTTACAAAATGGCACAAGAAAGGGATTCTTCAGAACTCTTATGGTTATTTATTTTTATTTTTAGAGACGGAGTCTCACTCTGTCAACTAGGCTGGAGTGCAGTGGCGTAATCTCGGCTCACTGCAACCTCTGTCTCCCAGGCTCAAGCGATTCTCCTGCCTCAGCCTCCCAAGTAGCTGGGACTACAGAAGCGTGCCACCAAGCCCAACTAATTTTTTATTTTTAGTAGAGACGGGGTTTCACCATGTTGCCCAGGATGGTCTCAATTTCTTGACCTCATGATCTGCCCGCCTCGGCCTCCCAAAGTGCTGGGAATACAGGTATGAGCCACAATGCCTGGCCATTTTTTTTTTTTTTTGAGATGGAGTCTCGCTCTGTCACCCAGGTTGGAGTGTGCAATGGCGCGATCTCCGTTCACTGCAACCTCCGTCTCCCAGGTTCAAGTGATTCTCCTGCCTCAGCCTCCTGAACAGCTAGGATTATAGGCGTGTGCCAGCCGGCCCAGCTAATTTTTGTATTTTTAGTAAAGACGGGGTTTCACCATGTTGGTCAGACTGGTCTCCAACTCCTGACCTCGTGATCTGCCCACCTTAGCCTCCCAAAGTGCTGGGATGACAGGCGTGAGTCCCCATGCAATGCCTGTCATTGAATTGGAAGTACTTTAGGAAACATGGAAGTAGCTTGTTTCAATCACTGCAGGTCATTCTGTCAGTACTTCTACCAAGGAAAACTGAATAAACAGTAAAACCTCATTCAGTCACCTCCCCAAATTTGGAAGCTGTGCTCTGGTATAATGTGAAGTTCCCTTGGAGAGTCCCGGTGAAATGCAGAGCTCATTGAGTCAACCAGCCCTTTAAGAGTGGCGAGCAGGTCCCGTTCCCTGACACAGCCCCACATCCAAATGCCGCGCAAATGACCAATCCTCATTTACTGCCTAGTGTTAGGCCCTTGTACCAAGCACCAGGAATATATCCAGGTGAGGTAAGTATATAACTACAAAACAAAGGGAGAATATGGTAAGACCTACAGTAAACCACCAGGATCAAAGAAGGAAGATAGAGAAACAATCCAGTAACTAACCCTAGGAAGGCCCTCGAGGGGTTTCAGTAAGCAGAGATGGGCAGAGGGCCAAGGGGGAAGGGTGGAAATACGGAATCAGACACGGAACGTTGGGGAGGCTGTTTCTGCATGGGCAGAGGCGAGTACTTCATGGGCCAAGTTTGGCCTTATCCTCAAAGCAAACAGCCACTCAGGAGAATGGAGGGGTAGAGTTCCTCTTATAATGTCTGAACACCAGACTGCACTTTATTCTACACGTGGAGGCTACCACGATCAGAGCAACAGAACACAAACTCGCAAAACCCCTGAGAAATGGTGCCCTCACCTACTGAAGCGATTCTCTATCCAGCAACACTCAGACCACTGCCGGGCGGCAGGGCAGCCCCAGGTCCCATGGAGCTATTTAAACTTCAAGTATTAAAACATGTAAAATTCAGTTCCTCAGACACACTAGCCACACTTCAAGTGTGAGCAGCCAGTGCCTACCCTAATGGACAGACGGCAAACATTTCCACCATTCAGAAAATTCTATTGAACAGAGCTGGTTAGACAACAGAGAGATCATTAGGTCAGCCTAGTTTCTTGCACAACTTAAATTAAAAACTACTCTCAGAGGTAAGAAAACTATACTCTTTTAAAAAATATTTTAGAATTTGAACTCTTCTATAGTTTGGCCAGACCTTTTCCCACAATAAACATGAGTCACACTGGTAAGATACATTTACTGAATGTGAATGCATGTTCTCTTAAAAAAAAAACAAAACACATGAAACGTCTACTGCAATGTGCACAGAAGGGGGCACTGGGAGTCACTCTAAAAGCTACCAAAAGACACAGTAACAGAATTATACTACATTTTATCTTCCAGGGCGAGCGCTCTGATGCAAACTCCTGATGGCTGTGGTAACAACCCCACCCTTATGAGGTTGTGCAGGCTTTTCAGAACCAAAGAAAAAGCCACACTTCCACCTTCACCAGGGGTTCTCACGATCCCCTCCCACCCAAAGGCGGCTCTAAGTGTGCTTCCTGGTGTGCCCGATGCCCTACCTGCCCTGGTGCTTACCTGTGTGAGTGCGAAGATGGGCCTTAAGGTGGGAACTTTTGAAGTAGGTCTTCCGGCAACCTGGGAAGCTGCAAACATAGTTCCTCCTTCGGGAGAAGTCTACCTGAGGGACACAGTTTTGGCTAGAGGCGATGAACACTGGAGCAGGGGCGAGGGGCAACAACTTGGTATTCCCGGCAGCCATGACACTGGCTGCACAGGGGGCAGGCGGAGGGAGGGTTCCCTGGGGCAGGACCAACATCACAGCTCCCTGAGGCACCGGAGGTCCCATGAACACAGGTTGAGGCGCTGGAGCAGCCTGAGCTAGGATGGGTCTCACAGTCCCCACAGACAACTGGGGAGGGGGCTTCAAAAAAGCTGGTAACATGCCACTTTGTCCAGTCACGGGGATCATCTGGCAAAGGACAGGGGGAGCAGGGACAGAGACAGAAATCAGAGGAGTGGTTTTCCTGGGCAGGTCATTTTCATAATTCTTTGGTGAGCAAGTCTGAACTGCAACAGGCCACCCTGCCTGCTGGCCTTTGTCAGTGAGGAGCAGGCCACCAGACTTGTGCAAGCAGGGCTGACAGGACACCAAGTTAGTGTTGAGTAAAGTGTCTGTGAGGTGTGTGTCCTGTAGAGTTTCAAAGTGTCCCAGAAACTGCTCTTCTCCTTCTCTGCTGTCAGGAAGCCGGCAATCTGGAGTCTGGCTGGTGGGAAAGCAGGCAGCAGGGCTCTCCCCAGTGTGTCGGATCACACTGGTCCCCATGGCCCTGCAGGGAGAGCTGGGCACTGCCTCCAAACCCAGCAAGTCCCTCTCGGCGCCCCGGCTCAGCGCTGTGGCCGCTATGGCAGAGGACTGGAGGACGTCTGTGGCTGTGCATGCTTTGGAATCTGTTACTTGGGGAGAAACAGGTGTCCTTGTCGATGGCTCCATGAGATCAGGGCTCTGAGGAGGCGTTATGCACTTAAAAAACAAAAGCACCATGTGAAAAGGTTGCTTTAAATTTTAAAAGGGACTTAATTCATCACAATGCTCCCAATACCTTTACACAGAATCATCTACACACTCGGCTAACCCTGTTTTCAACATCCCAGTGGGTTTCGAGGCCGCATGGGGCACTTTGCTGTCTCAGCTTATTCCCACAGTGTTTACCTCTCCCAAACCTACACAAGAGCCCAATGCAGGGAACTCTGAGAGGAGGTCCTGGCCGCCAGGCCCACCACTTCTGCAACCCTCCTGACAACCCACAGGCCCTTCCCATCCCTCTCCAAATCTGCTTTCTACACTCTTTTTTCAGAGAAAGCTTCCAGCCCAGGACAATCACAATCTCCACTTCTGTTAGCAACCTACCATTCTCAACTTCTCCAAGCTGAGATGCAAGTTTTCCAAGTACTTTCACAGATGCAGCAAATTAAAAAACCAAAAACGAGAGTGATTTACTGCACTCAACGAAGGCAATCTGATGTCAAAGCACATGCTTTCTCCAGCTGCTACCCACATATCCTGATACTAGGCTGGGTCACCAGGAGAACCTAAGCTCCACCCCAAGATTCCCCTGGGGAAGTAAATTTCACTTTCTCACATTAATCTGTAGGTTTCATCCCACGGACATTAACCACATAGCAAGGTACGATCCATCCATAGGAAGAGCACATTTTTCAGAAATGAATGAAGAGTGTTTTTGTTCTTTTGTTTTTTTTTTAAATGGAGTCTCACTCTGTCGCCCGGGCTGGAGTGCAGTGCCACGATCTCGGCTTACTGCAACCTTCGCCTCCTGGGTTCAAGCGATTCTCCTACCTCAGGTATCTGGAGTAGCTGGGACTACAGGCGCCCACCACCACACCGGGATAAGTTTTGTATTTTTAATCGAGATGAGATTTCGCCATGTTGGTCAGGCTGATCTCGAACTCCTGACCTTGTGATCCGCCTGCCTGACCCTCCCAAAGTGCTGGGATTACAGGCTTGAGCCACCGTGCCCAGCTGAAGGAATTCAACACACTGAGTTCAGCTACTCTAGTCATTTCACAAAAATGCTCCTCTCCCACCTCCTCTTACCAGAGTTGATAAAGAATGGAAGTCTTTTGGTAGTTCAGGTGTGGCTGCATCCATATGCACAGTGGTGGTGACATCCCCAGAATCAGAGACAGGCGTGAGAGGTCTTATCCGCAACAGGTCACCTTTCTGGGATCTTTGACCCCAGGAGCTCATACAAACAAGAGCCTCAACAGCTTCCATGTCTGTCTGCTCCAAGATGCTGCACGTAGACCTTTCGCTGTCATGCCGCTTCCTCTCCAGGATGGACTCACATATGTCCATGATGTCAACCTAAAGGCGACACAACACAATGGCTTCTCAGTGCAGGGGAAATACAAAGGCCACCCATGATGGGCATGTGGATATGCACACCAGAGGCCTACACTAGGCATGTAATGCACATGCAATACTCCATAGCAACAAACACCAGCTGTAGTAAAAGATGTTCAAGGAATGCTCATGACAATTTGGCTTTTAAGCCAACATTTCAAAGACAGAACTAAGATGGCAAGTGTTGCCACCAAAAATCTTGACTCTTAAAAAAGGCTAATAAGTTCATCTTTTTCTTGGGTAAATGATTAATAAAATTAACTCCTGAGGTGCAAGCCAAACAGTGGCTGGGGTAAAGCAGCTGCCCAGGGAAGAGGAGCCAACACTGAGGCCATCTAGTCAGTCTGCCAGTAGCTGAGGTGCCCTGACCATGGCTCTTTGAAGCGGCAAAGCCGCCAAAGCAGTGTCCCTATAGATGCTCTCAGGGACTCTGGCGCCTTCCCTCTATGCCCCAAGCAGGTAGGGCCCATGGCTATTCCACCAGTTCCCTCCACAGATTCGGAGCAGAAGTCATCTGTTACTGTCCCAAGGCTAGCAGGTGGTGACAGGAAGTAAACCTGCCACGATCCCAGAGAGGATCTCTTTGCAGTTTTTTTTTTGAGATGGAGTCTTGCTCAGTTACCCAGGCTAGAGTGCAGTGGCACAATCTCGGCTCACTACAGTGCCTGCCACCACGCTTGGGTAATTTCTGTATTTTTAGTAGAAAGAGAGTTTTGCTATGTTGGTCAAGCTGGTCTTGAACTCCTGATCTCCCGGGTTCAAGCGATTCTCCTGCCTCAGCCTCCCGAGTAGCTGGGATTACAGGCGTCCATCACCATGCCTGGCTAATTTTTTGTATTTTTAGTAGAGACGGGGTTTCACCATGTTGGCCAGGCTGGTCTCCAACTCCTGACTTCAGGCGATCCACCCGCCCTGACCTCCCAAAGTGCTGGGATTACAGGCGCCCAGCCTTGTTTTTTTGAGACTGAGTCTTGCTCTGTTGCCCAGGCTGGAGTGCATTGGCACTATCTTGGCTCACCACAACCTCCGCCTCCCAGGTTCAAGCGCTTCTTCTGCCTCAGCCTCCCTACTAGCAGGATTACAGGCGCCCACCACCATACTCGGCTAATTTTTATATTTTTTATAGAGAGGGGTTTTCCCCATGTTGGTCAAGCTGGTCTCAAACTCCCGTCCTCAGGTGATCCGCCCACCTGGGCCTCCCAAAGTGCTGGGATTACAGACCGTCTCTTTAATCTGGAAGGGGAGGAGGAGGAAGAGGCTGGAATGAGCTGATCTCTTCCAAAAGAAAACTAATCCGGGGGTGAGAAGGTGATATTACTCTGAGAGGGAGTAATATCCCTCCCTCCCAGGGAGGTTACGGGGGCTGAGATCGCGCACCCACTGCACTCCGGCCTGGGAGACAGACCGAGAGACCGTCTCAAAAAGAAAAAGGAAAGGAAACGTTAAATGTACGAAGATACACGTTTCCTCTCAATTTGCCATGCACCAAAACATCAAAACTTTCCCTCTGCCCAGGTTCCCCGAGATCAAACAAGACGAGGCCACCTCAAATCCCCGGCCTCTGTCCCGCAGGCTGCGCCACCAAACCCCCTGTGAAGTCACAGAACCCGGCGCCGAGGCCCGCTCACCACACGGACGGGAAGGGGCCCGGCCCACAGTGCCCGCACACCACGAGGCCCACACTCGGCCCACGTCCACGGATACCTCCCCGAAGTCCCCGGGTCGCGACGCTTAGGGCCCCCAACGCTCGCGTGCCGCGTTCCCGCCTCCAGGCGTTGCCCCGCCCCCCGGGTCGTGCCGCGCTTCCGCCTCCCGTCGTTGCCCGGGCCCCCGGACCTTGCCCCGCCCCGAGGGCCGAGCGGCACTCCCGCCAGCCGCTATTGCCCCGCCCCCAGGACCGTGTCGCGTCCCCGCCAGCAACTCTTGCCCCGCCCCCACGGCCGCGTGCCGCGTTCCCGCCAGCCGCTCCCCCACCCAACGGCCGTTCGGCTCACAGGACCAGGGTGACGTCATGGCTGGAAATAGCCGCGGGGCCAGCGGGGCGGGGCCGCCCAGGAAGCGCAAGACAAAGCTGCGCGGGGCACACGCCCCCTCCTCGCCCCAGCCGACCCGGGCGCGCCCCGCGCGGCCGCCGCCCCGCCCGGCTCCAAAGCCCGCCCAGGCCCCCACCGGCGCGGCCGCAGCGAGGACCCGCACGCCCCACCTCCCGCTTTCACAGGCCCGCGGGTCCCGCACCGCGTCCCCCGCCTCGCCCCTCGCTCAGACGAGTAGTCCAGCCGCGGCAGCCCCACTACTCACTGCGCGCGCGTCGTCTGGGCCCGCGGAGTCCGGCGTGTGCATCGTGCCGGGCAGCCGGGAGCAACAAAGCGGCCGCGGGGCGTAAGGTCGGCGCAGCAGCGGCCGCACGTGCGCGGTGGGCGACGGTGGCGGCTACCCGGAGCTTCTGCGGCCGGCACGCGCCTCGCCCGCCCGCGCGGCTCTGCCCCGGCGCGGCCCTCGCGGCGCGGGAGGGGCGGGGCGGCTGCGGAGGGAGCGGCCGGCGGGGCGGGGCGCGGAGGCGAACCAAAATACACCGCGCCCCCCGTCGGGGCGGGGCCTGCCGCCGCCAGCCAATTCGCACCGGGCCCGTGACCGGCCGGCCAATGAGCGCCGCGGGGGGCCGCGTGATCGGAGCCTGGCCGCGGCGTGATCGGGCAGGGCGGGACGCGGCACGTGTTTTGGTCGGAGAGAGGGGCGGGGCCTGAGGCCCTGGAAAGTAAGGGAAAGGTCGCGGGGGCGCGCGGGGCGGAGAAGGCGGCGCGGCGGCGGCGGCGCCTGGGGAAATCCCAGGGCGGGGTTCGGACTCGGTGCGGGGAGGGGGGACCGCGCTTATAGGAACCTCCTCTAGCCCCACCGGCTGAATCAGTCGGTAGCGGAGACCCACCTAGAGGCTTCAACCCGGCTTTCGTTGTTTTTATTTCTGTCACTCTCCCTTCGTTTCTTTGGAGTGAGCCCATGACCTGAGAGGTCGGAAAGCTGGCTGGTTCTAGGCGACATTCTTGCATCCGGTCATTTTTGCAGACACCCGGAGTCAGAGCTTCTCGGCCTGAGTGTCCGCTGATGCCCCTCCTCTGGCGTCTCTGGGCCTCTTCCGCTCTGTTACGGGGTCAGGGGAAGCCGAGACGGGCAGTCACCCAAAAGACGCCCGCTGAAACCCGCTCATTCTTCCCAGGCCCCGAGAAAACGCCGCCCCCTCCGGGCAGTCCTCGAGCCTGCAGGAGAGATCTAGCCTGGTGTCCAGGGCACCTTTTTTTTTCTCCCTATATTTCGGTTGCTGGCGTCTCTTGGTGTGGTTTGCCCACATTTGCAGCGCCAGGTTCATGGAGAGCAGGAACTATGCTGTTTATTTGCGTCGCCGCAGCCTTCAGCTCAGGGAGGAGTCACCCCTCCGTCTGTCCACTGCGCGCGCATTTGCTGAGCCGCGATGCGTGTTGGCGCTTAGTGCAAAGGGCAGAGGCCGCAGTGAGGAATCGTCCTTAAAAGCTCACATCCAGGGAGTGGGAGCAGAGAGAGAATCCCAGCACCCGGGGGCTTTGCTCTGAGCCAGAGAAGCCTGGGCTCAAGGGAACAGGCCGGGTCCCACCACTCACCTGAGCAGGGCTCTGGTCCCCACTTGTTCCTGCGGGGCCCACTCTGGTTGAGCAGAGGGGTTGAGCAGGCTGAGGAGAAGGTGTTTGCTGAAACAGTAAGAGGGTTTAAGTGAACCGTGATAAACCGCTCTCATGAAGACCCCGGAGGCTCTGACAGGGGTGCAGGGTGTTGTGTATGTGAAAAGTTAAGTCTTAGATACAGACTGGAATATTCTCTTTTGCCTGGCCTCCTGCTTTCGCCTTACAACTGGTCTCCCTGCGTCCGTCCGCTCCAGCTCCCACAGCCCCTTGCCACTCAGCACCCCCGGGGGTCTTTAACCTTCTCAGTGGCTCCCACTGTACTCAGCGTAATGCTTCTGCTCCCCACTGTGGCTTGTGAGCTCCTGCAGGGACCCAGCCCCTCCGTCTCCAGCCCCACGACTCTCCCCACTCCCCCGAGGGACAGCCCGGGCCTCCTCCTGGACACCTGTCTCACCAGCCCCTCTGCCGTCTCCAGGTCCTTGCACCTGCTGTTCCCTAGAATGCTTTTCCCCCTTATGTCCCCTTTGCTCTTACCCGCAGTCCACCTAGAGAGGCCTCCTCTAGCGAACGCACCCTTGGGGAGACCTCCAGTCCCCTTCTCCCGGGCCTTCTTGTTTTCTTCCTTCACAACACTTTCCATGAACTGTCCCTTTTCCATTACTTCAGTTATTTGCTTATCATCTGTCTCCCCATCAGAAGGACTCTCCCAAGGCCAGGGAGCCTGGCTGTGTAATTCATCCACGTAGGTGAATGAGCGAATCTAAGGTATCTAGCAGCTTCCGTGCTTGAACATCTTGTGGGCACCTCTAATTGTGTCCTTAAAACTGAACTCAGGGCCGGGCGCGGTGGCTCACGCCTGTAATCCCAGCACTTTGGGAGGCCAAGGTGGGCGGATCACCTGAGGTCAGGAGTTCGAGACCAGCCGGGCCAACATGATGAAACCCCGTGTCTTCTAAAAATATAAAAATTAGCCGGGCGTGGTAGCGGGCGCCTGTAATCCCAGCTACTCGGAGACTAAGGCAGGAGAATCACTTGAACCCAGGAGGCAAAGATTGCACTGAGCTGAGATCGCACCACTGCACTCCAGCCTGGGTGACAGAGACTCAGTCTGAACAAACAAACAAACAAAAAACTGAACTCAGATTCCACCCAAATCTGGATTTCTCACCTCTCTGAAGGGGACAACTGGAGACCCTATTCCTTGATCTAGAAACCTGAGCATCACCTTTACCTCCTCCCTTTCCCACAGTTGCTTTCTTCTGCCAATTATGCCATGCCCTTCTTCCTTCTCAGTTCCTCTCAAACTCTTATGTCACCCATGCCAGCCCTTGTCCTGGCCACCACCTGCTCGTCTGAATTGTTGCCACTGCCTCCCAATAGGTCTCCCTCCCTCCAGCCAGACGCCCTACAATCTGCCATCACCTTACTGCCAGAATGCTCTTCTGGAAGTAGAGATGGAGCTGAACCTGTATTCAAGCCTCAGTTGGAATCCAAACAGTTATAGGACTGACTTCAGGCTCCGTGGCCAGGAACCCATGAGTCTTTGTAACCAGGCTCCAGCCAGCACTTCCTGCATCATTTCTGACCAGTTTCCCAAATTGCTTTCCCTGCTACCTTCCTGCCCCCAGTGACCCAATACAGAACCCTGTACTCCCAAGGTTATGCCACTCTCCTGTTTCTAGGCAGCATTCCTTCTGCGTGGAACACGCCAACCCTTGTCTGCTTTGACCCTGCAAGACTGCATGAGATGGCCAGGCATGGTGGCTCACACCTGTAATCCCAGCACTTTGGGAGGCCGAGGTGGACAGATCACCTGAGGTCAGGAGTTTGAGGCCAGCCTGGCCAGCATGGTGAAACCCCGTCTCAACTGAAAATACAAAAAATTAGCCAGGCGTGGTGGCAGGCACCTGTAATCCCAGCTGCTCAGGAGGCTGAGGCAGGAGAATCGCTTGAACCCAGGAGGCAGAGGTTGCAGTGAGCCAAGGTCATGCCGTTGCACTCCAGCCTGGGCTACAAGAGTGAAACTCTGTCTCAAAAAAACAAAGAAAAGAAAAACAAAAGAAAAAGACTGCATATGACTGCCCGGCAAAGCCCTCCCTGATACCCCCAAATAGCTGATGCTTCAGCAGAAGGCAGTGTGCCTGGGCTTTGGAGTCAGACCTGGATACAAATCCTTGTTTTGCTGGTGTGACCTTGCCAAGTCTTCTTTCCTGCAGGACAGAAGGCGGCAGCAGCTCTCCCTGACCTGGCACTCTGGCTTCTCTTGTCCCAGGCTCTGTTTCTGCTCCTTGGACAGCAAGCGTTTGTGGGAACTGTGACCTCTTCAGCCATGAGCCCCTGTTCTGCCCACATCTAGCCCATCTTCCAGATGGACAGACAGGCTGTGGTCGTTGCCAAACCCCTAATTCTGGCCCTGCCCACAGTCAGAGGGATGGCAATTTGTAAACTACAGACTATTGCGAATCATTCACTTGGAGACTTCACTAAGACCACTGGCACCTGGCTCCGTAGGCCCTCGGGAAGAGCATGGTCTGGCAGGCAGACTGGATGTGGCCTGCAGACCTCAGGGGAGAGTGTGAGCCTGCAGGTCAGAATGCCACCACTTTCTCCTGTGTCCTTCCAGAGAGAGCCTGTGGCTGTGCACGCATGCTGCTACAGAGAGTAGTGCTCTGTACCTCCTGGACTCGCTCGCTGACTTTGCAGCCTTAGGGCTTATTGCCATTGGTACATAACGATCAACCTCTTACTTTGTAATGGTTAAGTAATATTCTATCATATGGAATGTGATGTGTTATTTATTTAACATTCTGGTTGAATAACAAAGACGGGTGGTTTCCAGTTTTCCAGGAACATCATGCCCCTCCATCATTTGCCCACGTGGAAGGATCGCTACAGGATAGGCAGCTCCTAGAACCAGAATTGCTGAGTTAACTGCTCTGTGCATTTCCTTGTTTTTTCTTGCTTTTCTTTCTTTTTTCTTTTTTTTTTTTTTTTTTGGTAAATGTTTATTGAAGTGTAGCATAGCATAGATATAGGAAAGTGCAAAAACTTACATGTACAATTCAATAAATTTTCACTAGACAAACACACTGTGTCACCAACACCCAGATTTAGAAACAGAATATTACCAGAGTCCCAAAAACCCCTGAGCTGCCTTCCAGCCACTACTTACGCTTTCCCCGATCCCCTGCATAGGATAATCCTTATCATGGCTTCTGACACCGTGGGTTGGTTTTGCATGTATTGACACTTTTTGTGTGGGTGTGACACTTTTATAATACAAAGAAAATCATATAATATGTTCAGTTTAGGGTCTGGCTTCTTTCACTCAGTGTGGTGGTGTGGGCAGTTGGAGTTTGCTTATTCTCATTCTTCTGTTCTCTTTCTCTCTGGTTGAGCTTACTGGGCTGGAAGCCGTACAAGGACCAGAACATGCTGTGAGCTGACCGGCCACTGGGCTGGCTGTCTAGTTGACAAATGACCTAACAAATGGTTGACAGAATGGATGGATGAATGAATCACAGATCCACCAATCCACTGACGTGTTCAATGCCTGACTGGAAGTGAGTGTCTGTTCCTCCGAACACCCCGGGCCCCTGTCTCCCTCCGCTAGGGGCACTCACGATGGTGAGCAGAGAGGTCTGTAGGGGGTAGCTGAGGCACAGATCATCCAGGTCAACCTGTGTATTTTACGGGTGAGGAAACTCAGACCTAGCAACTTCACACAAAGCCACTTTGCTCGGGGGAGAAATCATCATGACGCTGTGTCTGATGTGGTTGAGGCACAAAGGAGGACCAGATCAGAAGACGTTTATTAAATACCAAAAGTAGGCCAAGTATCATGCTAGGGGCTAGCTCTTCATGCCTTTTGATCCCCTGATTTCAGCCACATTCATAGATGAAGCCACTGAGGGACAAGAGGTGAAGCCACTTGCCCCTCATTGCTGGCCAGTGAGCAGAGGGCCCAGGATCCATCCCTCCAGCTCGGGTCCAGTGCTGCTTTCTCCCAGCTGCCTGCCCCTGGAAAAGGGGCTGCTAAGAGCACATGCTGAGTCCTTGTAAGCCGGCCCAGAGTCAGGGGGCTGCGGGCAGCTCCCATCAGGCGCAAAAAGGGGTGCTCAGTCCGATCGCTCCGGGGAGGGTGAGGACGCCAGTGTGCTTTGTTCCTACTGTGGCTGCCATACCCCTCCCCGCACTGGACACACCTGCTGCGTGGCTCTGGCTGCCTCGGTGGCTGCACTCAGCCTTCTTTCTGTGTCTCCAGGCTGGGCTACAACCTCACTGTGTGTTACATCTTCAAACCTCCCAAGAGGGAGAACCAAGTTGGCTTAGGCTTTTAGGCTCAGAGTAGAGGGGCCACATGGCCCAAACTTCAACTTTTGCCAAAGGAAAGCCCCAGAATGGTGCTATGGGTGTAGTGGGCCCTGAAAGCTTCTTTGAGGACATGGGCACTTGGCAGGGGCCTTGCAGAGGCTGGACTAGTACAGTCTATGGCGGGGACGGGGACCCCTTGGTGCTCAGGGCTGTGGGATGGTGGAGGAACAGGAACCACCCTCGGCCCTTCCCATCCCTACTCTTCAGCAGGAAACAGACTCACAAATATCCTATAGACCAAGAGCCGTGCTGGCACAGGTGTCGGGGGAAGAGGTGGGAGCTGCCTACTCGTGTCTGAGGAACTGGTGGGAGGGCTGGTCTGGGACAGTGCACAAAGAAGACATCGTTTGAGCTGGGTGTTAAGGACAGATAGGAGGCAGCCACCCAGGAAACAGAGGTGACCTTTTGGTACAAGCTTCATACCTCATCCACCTCTGCATTCTCCAGCTCTTAGCACAAGACCCTCCTATGTGGTGGGTGCCCAACGAATTGAAATAAGCATAAGAAGAAACTTAGGCCATTGTCCAGGCCAGTGATTCTCCAGCATGAGCCCAGAAGGCACGTTAAAATACAGATTTCCGGGCCTACCCCCTGGCTGCTGACTGAGCAGGTCTCCGTTGGGTCTGTGAATCTGAACATCTTTTTTTTTTTTTCAGATGGAGTCTTGGTGTGTCGCCCAAGCTGGAATGCAATGGCATGATCTCAGTTCACTTCAACCTCTACCTCCTGGACTCAAGCAATTTTCTCACCTCAGCCTCCCGAATAGCTGAGATTACAAGCACCCATCACCATGCCTGGCTAAGTTTTGTATTTTTAGTAGACACGGGATTTCGCCATGTTGGCCAGGCTGGTCTCGAACTCCTGACCTCAGGTGATTCGCCGGCCTCGGCTTCCCAAAGTGCTGAAATTACAAGCATGAACCACTGCACCCTGCCAAATATGCATGTCTAATAAGTTCCCAGATGATGTTGACACCACTGGTCCAGGAATCGCAGCGGTTAGAATGACTGATTTAGTCCAATCTCTGTGTCTTACAGAAAGGGAAATGGAGACACAGAACAGAAGCAGCCTGTCCCAGTTACTCAAAGTGTGGGCAGAGGAATGACTAGACGCCCTGCCTCCAGGCTCACGCTGAGTCCCGCCCCGAACCACACTACAGCGCCACCCTGCCATCTCTTGGACAGAGTGCCCCAGGAGCAGCCCCAGAAGAAAGCCTCAGGAGGCCAGCATGTCACTGGGCAACAGCACAAACCGCCGACTGGCCTGGGAGGGCAGGCTTCCAGGGGTCCTCGTGGCCACCCAGCCCATCTGCTCAGCCAACTGCTTGCATCTGGGTGTGTTGCCAGCCCGACTTCCCCAGTGACCCAGCGTGGTGCTGGCACCAGCGCAGACGGAGCAGCAGGGCCAGCCAGGCCAGGAGCTCAAGGCACTGGCAGAGTGACCAGTGGAGAAACATCTCACAGGGCGACTTGGTGTGGATCCCTGCAGGGACCGCGCAGGAATCTCTTGGGATGCTGCTGTCATTCCTATCCCCTGGGCAGAGCCAGGGGGCACTCACCCAGTTCTCTGCTCAGGCTGATGACTGGTACTGGGTGCCACTCAGCGTTGGGGGCGGGGAGGCCCAAACCGGCTAGCCTCCTGACTCAGCACAAAAACGTATTTTAACCACTTGAAGGAAATGCGCTATCTGAGGCAGGCCAGCCTCTGGCTCAGAGCTGACCACAATAGAACCAGGAGTCACCAGCCTCCCCCAGGCAGGCCAGGCCCTCTGCCAGGGACTTTCCTGGCACCAGGGCACTCATCACCACTGGCTCCTCCTGCTGGCCTGTTCCATAGCCACAGCAGCTCCACCTCTGCCCAGGAGCCGCCACCCAGGCTGCAGTCCATACCCCTCCCAGGAGTCCTTATGTGGGCATCTCTTCTAGTGCTTGGTCAGTTTATACTTGTCTCTGCCCTAAACTGGGGGCTCCAACTCCAAAGACCGTGGAAACCTCTGCCGAGTGGGCCCAGTGCAGGCTGAGGCTGCTCCTCACCGAGAAACTGGCAAAGCATTTAACCAGGGTGGGCTTAGAAAGAGGCCTCGTGCCCGGGTTGGTCTGCAGCCCCTCCCTAGACACCTTCCTGGCTCAGTGTCACTCATAGATCCATGCTGGGTCCCCTTGGGTCACTCTGGGCCACTCTGCATGGCATGGGGAGCTGAGAGAGGCGCAGTCCCCCGTCTGCAATCATCTGGCGCTTGCAGTTTGGGCGGAATCGTCATTCCTTTCACTAACCCTAGCTGCGCTCTCCCCGGTTTACCACTGCTGTGTGGGAACTTGAAAACCTGGGTAAAACTAACTGGGTGTGGTAGTGGGTGCTTGTAATCCCAGCTACTTGGGAGGCTGAGGTGGGAGAATCATTTGAACCCAGGAGGTGGAGGCTGCAGTGAGCCGAGATCACGCCACCGCACTCCAGCCTGGACAACGGAGTGAGATTACATCTTAAAAAAAAAAAGAAAAAAAGAAAAAGTGGGAGCCCTCACTCCACCACAAGAAGGACCCCTCTTTCTGCTTGATGGTGCTGGGCCATGGCAGGAGGGGGCGAGACCCTGGACTGAACTCACCGAACTCCTACTATAGGCTCAACTCCCAGAGGCAGTGATGGACAACCACCTGGGATTTTGCCGTTTTGCTTTTTTATGCCCTTTCACATGTGGGCTGCTCTTCAGTAAGCAAGTTCCTGTTGAAGCTGGATATGCTGCCAGCCACTGGACTGGATACTGGGAAGAGATGGGTGTGACAGTTCCTGTGTGACCGTGGGCCAGTAGCTTAACCTCTCTGAGCCTGTTTTCTCATCTGTAAAATGGGGATGGAAACTATAACCACAGGATGTCACGGGAGTTAAATGAGATCATGCTCATAAAAATACTTGACAAAGGTGCCTGCCAATGACTGCTCAATAAATGACTTTTTAAAAACTGTCCCATGGTAAGGAAGCTCACAAGGAAAGTAATGATTGTGGTATAGTTCACGAAATGCAAGGAGAAAGCACAGGGATGGAGCTCTCCCTTAGCACACGCCCCAGGGGAGAAGCTCACCTAGCCACTCAGCTTGGAGGGAGGGGACAGGAGGTAATGAAAATGCATTGTAAATAAGCAAATGGAAGCGAAGGTACAGCTCTGTACAGAAGAATTGCAAATAATATACGGAGATAACTCCCCTCCAGGAAATGGAGCTTAATTTTCCTCTCCATGAGTGTGGGCTGGACTTAGTGATACGTTTCTAACAAAGTATGGAAAGGGAAATAGCAGCTTTGCAGTGGAGAAACCTTGCAGTCATCATTTTGATCAAGAAACAAAGGTTAATGTCACCAGTGATAAATTGTGTTGAAATTACCTACTCCTGATATGACGTGATGGGAAGGGCCCTTCTTCGCCATGTTATTCTTTCCAAAAGTGCAGAACTCCAGTCTAATCATGAAAAATACATCCGACAAACCCAAGTGGAGGAACACCCACAAAATGCCTCGTCGGTGCTTTTCAAAAGGGTCAAGGTCATGAAAACCGAGAAAGAACTGAGAAACCATCTCACGTCGGAGGAGGCACGATGGCTAGATGCACCCTGGTCGCCCTGGACTGGATCTGGAAATAGTAAAAGTGCATTAGTGGAAAACTGGTGAAATCCAGAGGAAGTCTGCAGTTGGTGATAGTATTGAATCAATGCTAATTTCATAGTTTTGACAAATGTACCGTGGTTATGCAAGACATCAACATTAGGAGGAACTGGGTGGAGGGCACATGGGACTCTGTACTTTTTTTGCAATTTTTGTTTGTTTGTTTTTGAGACGGAGTTTTGCTCTTGTTGCCCAGGCTGGAGTGCAGTGGCACGATCTCAGCTCACCACAACCTCCACCTCCTGGGTTCAAGCTTTTCTTCTGCCTCAGCCTACCGAGTAGCTGGGATTACAGGCATGCGCCACCACACCCAGCTTATTTTGTATTTTTAGTAGAGACGGGGTTTCACCATGTTTGTCAGGCTGATCTTGAACTCCCAACCTCAGGTGATCCGCCTGCCTCGGCCTCCCAAAATGCTGGGACTACAGGCATGAGCCGCCGAGTCCGGCGTGTTTGTGTTTTGAGACAGCGATTCTCCTTGAGAATTAGTGCCACCCGACTGGAACACATCACCTGGCAGCCCATTCTAGTACAGAGCAACAGCCCCCATGTCCAGGAAGTCCCTCTTTACTTCTTGCCAAAGTTACCTGTGTTATCTGCCCCAAGCCATGCCCCAGAAGTCCTCAAGCTAGGGCTCAGGCCCGGCTTGCTGTCTCCCTTTCAGCACATAGATCAGCTCACTGAGCATGTGGAGCCTGCCAGGGAGCCACGCTGAAGCTCATGCCCCCACATCAAGGGTCTGTGAGATGGCAGCCCCGAAGACTGGCCCAGGGTCCGGGGAAGGGCCTCTAAGCCACTCTTCCTCAGGAAGTGCCCCTCACCTCGTCCTGCCCACAGGCAGCAGTAATGTTGGCCCTGCCGGGCTCTGGCATTGGGAAGGGGCAGCGGGAAACAGCTCCTCTGTGCAGCTTCCCTGGGGGCTGCCCCACAGCCCCACTCCCTGCCTGCGTGCTGCACGCTGGTCACCTTGTTTGCCCTGGGAGCTCCTTTACCAGGGGCTTCCTGAGGTCTCCGGCCCTGCTGGCACCTGGAGGCCTCAGCCTCTTGACTCAAGAGGAGGCCTGGGGCTGGGCGTGGTGACTTACGCTTGTAATCCCAGCACTTTGGGAGGCCAAGGCTGAAGGATCACTTGAGCCCAGGAGTTCAAGAGCAGCCTGGACAGTATAGCAAGACCCTATCTCTACAAAAAATTTAAAAATCATACAATTTTTTTTAAAAAGTAAAAAGGAGGAGGCCTGAGAGGCTACAGTGGCTGCAGGGTAGCCTGACCACTGGGGCTGGGGAAGCATTTCTCTGGGAGAAATGCTTTCAAGGGGGAAGGTGGGGTGTCTCTGACCCGGGCATCAACCAGGGGGCACCAGAAGGCAGCTTGACCCTGCTCCCAGGTGAAATCTCTGAACCCTGGTTTCATCTACTCTCAGAGCCTGGCGTCCCCTGTCTAAGGCTGCCTGGGTTAGGAGCCTGGCACACACGGGGCTGCTATGCCAATCTTTTACACACACATTTACCCGGCACTTTCTCTTTTGCCATCCTCTCATGGTCGCCCGGCAGGGATCATTATCTGTAGGTGAGTGCAGGCTTAAGAGAGGGTGAGGAGCCTGGCCAGTCCCACAGGCAATGGTGGCTGAGGTCTCCCCAGGACCCAGGTATTCTGAGGGAGCCTCACACCGTGGGGCTGGGGGCTGGCATCTGTCCCAGGCATGCTATCCACACGCATGCGGGGGTATGGGAAGAGCTCTGGGGCTGCACATATCTAGATTGAGAGCGTGTCTTCACCACTGTCTGGCTCTGAACCCCAGGATTTTGGGGTCAGCACATGGCGTAGGGGGTAGAAGGGTGCACCCTGAAGGGTGGGCCTCTAATGCATCTGGCCAGATACAAAAAGGCAGCCGGGGGTGAGTCTCTGAGGAGTGGGCAGCGGGAGCAGCACAGTGTGGAGAGGGTGGAGAGAGTGGGGAGGGCAGTGTGGGGTCAAGGGCAGGAGGTTCTGGGCGTGTGTCAGGCTGCTCCTATCTCACCGAGTATAAACAGCTCCTTAAAAGTGAGCTCCAAAACCCAACTCACTGGGTCATTGATGGCAGGCTAACCTTCGGGGGTGCCTAGGGGCCTAGGATAGGAGAGCCCTGTGGCCAGTCTGCAGCCTGTGCCTGCACAAACCCAGGCCTTGTGCTATCTCTGGCACCTGGGTGAGCCCCCTCCAGTGGAACACCTGCCAACTTCTCGTTAAAATACAAGAGTGGGGCGGGGCTGGGTGTGGTGGCTCATGGCTGTAATCCCAGCACTTTGGGAGGCCGAGGCAGGCAGATCACTTGAGGTCAGGAGTTCGAGACCAGCCTGGCCAACATGGTGAAACCCCATCTCTACTAAAAATACAAAAATTAGCTTGGCGTGGTGGCAGGCACCTGTAATCCTAGCCGAGGCACAGGAATCACTTGAACCTGGGAGGCAGAGGTTTCAGTGAGCCAAGATTGTGCCACTGCACTCCACCCTGGGCGATAGAGCGAGATTCCATCTCAAAATAAATAAATAAATAAATAAACAAAACAAGAGCTGGGGGGAGGGGCAGCAAGGTGATAAACATCATTTGGAAATTTAGGGCTTAAAAAGTATGTAAAGGATCAATTTGCTTGTGAAGGCTAACAAAGCTTGGGGCTTGATTAACAAAATGCTCCTAATTTATCATTCTTAGTATTAGGACCAGGAGCAACACTAAGAATATTCACATAAAGTGAACACACAGTTAGTCATATTAGCCACTATTTGTCAAACACGGTGTGCCAGACACTGTTGTATACACACAGACGCAGTCCCTCATTGAATTTTCACACAGACGCTGTAGGTATCCTCAGCCTGTTTTACAGAGGGGGTCGAGTGTGGGGGGAGGCTAAAGGGCTTGCCCAAGTCTTGCCCACACAGCTGGCCCAGGTGAAGCCTGGTCTGCCCGCTGCCCGTGCCACCCGTGCCCCAAGCCTTGCCCTCCCAGTGAGTGTGTGGCCCGCATTGTCATGTGTTGGACTATGGTGGGGGGAGGAGGGAATCCCCTATTTAGATCTTTTTTTTTTTTTTTGAGACAGAGTCTCACTCTGTCACTCAGGCTGGAGTACAATGGCACCATCTCAGCTCACTGCAACTTCTGCCTCTCATATTCAAGCGATTCTCCTGCTTCAGCCTCCTGAGCAGCTGGGATTACAGGTGTGCACCACCATGCCTGGCTAATTTTTGTATTTTTAGTAGAGATGGGGTTTCACCATATTGGCTGGCTGGTCTCAAACTCCTGACCTCTGGTGATCCGCACCCTTGGCCTTCCAAAGTGCCGGGATTACAGGCATGAGCCACTGTGCCTGGCCTCCCTATTTAGATCTTTAAGTAATGCTTTTGTGACTGCACAGTGGAAGATTTGTTTAATATTTTTATGTACTGCTTTAAATAAATTATAATATTATTATTGTAAAAGCAGCTCATCCTTATTACAGAAAACAGAAATACAGAAAAGTACATAAAAAGAAAGTCCATTTTTCTCTTATCCTTTGCCCTGTCCATCTCCCCCTCCCCCTTTTCCCTCCTCCCCCTTCTTCTTTCCATCTACCAGCCCACCTCTTTAATCCTGTGAAGAAACAAGTGAGTCCTCCCCTCTTTCATTCTGCCTTAGTCCAGTCGGCTGTCTCAAAACACCATAAACTGGGTGCTTCTCAACAACCGACATTGATTTCTCACAGTTCCGGAGGCTGGAAATCCAAGATTAGGCGCCAGCGTGTTCGGATTCAGGCAGGGGCCGTCCTCCGGCTTGCAGATGGCTGCCTTCGCATCATGTCCTCACGTGACACAGGGAAGGCACCGGCCCTCTGGCCTCTGGTAAGGGCACTGATTCCATGATGAGGGCTCCCCGGGCACAACCTAATTACCTCCCAAAGGCCCCACCTCCTAATACCATGAGGGGTCAACGTATGCGCCTAGGGGGACACGCACACTCAGTCCCTCGACACCTCCTACCTCCTAAGGCAGGCGATCAGAGCTGGGCTTTCTTGGGTGTGTAAAGTACACACACATGCACACGCACTCTCTCTGGTTTGGGTTTGGAATGTTTTCTGCTCACGAGTGTATTCCGTGACAAGCCTATTCCCCTGCGCCTGGCTTTTTGTGTCCTGGGAGTCATCGCCCAGCCCGCACTTGCAGCCCTAGCTCATTGGCTTTACAAGCTCTCCAGGAGCCACCCAACATTGTGAAGCCTCAGTTTCCTCAACTATAAAACGGGAGTAATAATTCCAAGGTTAGGAGACACGGATGAAAAAGATAAATGGGGATAATAATAATAATACACTCCTGGCTGAGTTGTTTCAAGAATTAGAGATTATGCTCCATAAATGTGGCACTTACAGTCAGTCAACAATCCCCACCCGGAGCAGGGGAGATTTTGGCTTGACTGGGCCAAAAGCAGAAACAGCTTGTGTGTGTGTGTGGCGAGAGTGGGGATTGTTTTATGCTTATAGGAGGACGGGACAGCTGGGTACCTCATTCTTGGGGGGCTGCCTCTGTCACCCCAGCATGGGGGGACCCTGGAAAGCTTGGCGGGGACAGGGGCAGGTGAGGTACCGTGGGAACCCTGGGGTGGACAGTCTCAGTGGGAGAGCAGACTGTCCACTGTCCGACAACAAGGCTTTTGGACACACGCAGTTTCCCGTTCAGGGTGTCAGAGCAGCGGCTGCAGACCTTTCAAGTTCCCCATGCTCCGGCTTCCTGGCTCCAGCTTACAAAGCTCCAGCGGAGGGGCAGGAAGGGAGGGGACGAGGGCGTCTCAGGCCCCGCGCTTTCCTCCGGGTGGAGACAGGTGGAAAGGGACTGCCAGGCGCCCCCTGTTTCACGGGAGCTCACGGAGGGCTTTGTCTAGTATCCAGGGAGCAAGAAACTCCCGCCCTGAGGAAAAGCCCTCCCTGGCCCTCAGGGTGGGCGGAGCCACCACTTCCCCTGCAG